AAAGTGCTCAAAAAAAAAGCAAAAACTTTACAATAAATTTCTGAAAAATAAAAACAATGATAATGAAAAAAATTACAAAAATTATAAATATTTTTACCAAGATCTCCTTAAAAATGCAAAAAAAAAAAAAAAAAATTACAGTAATTAAATTAACAAATGCAAATTTGATTGCAAAAAAACATGGTCCATGATCAATGTCATAATGGGAAGAGAAAAACTAAATTCACCTACCTCTCTACCTAAACGAATTGTTATTGAAAACAACGATATATTTAGTCAAAAACAAATTTCGGAAAAACTCAATAAATATTTTACCAGTATTGGTCCAAATCTTGTTAAAAAAATAGTACCAACATCTGTATCATTTAAAACCTTCCTTAAACCAACGAACAATGTTATCATGCTTAATTATGAATTAACCTATGAGGAATTTGAGGCAGCTTTTTCCTCGTTAAAAAAAGAAAGGCTCCAGGATTTGATGAGATATCTAGTAATATAGTTATTGCAAACAAACATAGTCTTAAAAGACCTCTAATACATATACTAAAGCTTTCGTTAAATTCTGGGATATTTCCGGATGTACTTAAATTAGCAAAAGTAATTCCATTGTTCAAATGTAATGATCATTCTGACATTACAAACTACAGGTCTATATCAGTACTTTCTGTATTTTCAAAACTATTCGAACGTGTAGTTTATAATAGAATCTATGATTACTCCATTAAAAACAATTTTTTTTACCCAAATCAGTTTGGTTTTCAAAAAAATCTCTTTACTGAGCATGCAATCATTGAAATAGTAAATCAAATAACTAATGGTTTTGAAAATAGTAAATTTACTTTAGGAGTATTTCTTGATTTATAAAAAGCATTTGATATAGTGGACCACTGTATTTTCTTAGATAAATTAAGACATTACGGAATAATTAATAAAACTTATAATTGGATTAAAAGCTATCTTACAAACAGAAAACGATATGTAAATAATGCCCAATCTGGAGTGTTAAATGTCATATGTGGAGTTCCGCAAGAATCGATTCTTGGTTCAATTCTTTTTTTAATATATATAAATGACTTCTGTAATGCATCCTTAAAACTTAATTCAGTCATGTTTGCAGATGACACGAATTTATTTCTTACCAACAACGATATCAAGAAATTATATGCGGACATGAATATTGAACTAAATAAAGTATATAACTGGTTTAAGGCTAACAAACTCTCACTTAATGCCGAGAAAACAAACTATAAACTTTTTCATAAAAAAACACAAGAAGAAAATCATCCTCTCAAGTTGCCGAACTTATTTATAAATGATAAATTAATTAAAAAGCAATCCAATATAAGATTCTTGGGAATCGTTGTTGAAGAAAAATTATCCTGGCTTCCTCATATAATATATATCCAGTCAAAAATTACCAAAATCATAGGTTTAATGTATCGAGTTCGCTCGTACATCAATACAATTAGTCTTAAATTAATCTACTTTGGGCTAATTCACAGCCTCATCAGCTATACAAATATTTCATGGGCAAGTACTCAAACAGCAAAGCTTAAGAAACTTTATAGTTTTCAGAAACATGCTTGTAGAATCATTTACTTTAAAAATAGGTGGGAACACGCTAATCCCTTGATGAAAGATATGAAAATGATTAATGTATTTGAAATAAATATCTACCAGCATTTAATTTTCATGTATCGTTACAATCACAATATCTCTCCTATAAGCTTTAATAATAAGTTTGAGTTAAATAAAAATGATAACTATAATCTTAGAGCGAATATGTTGAACACATATAAACTGCCTAGGATAATAAATAAATATTCAGAATACAGTATTTTATATCGAGGTCCAAAAGTATGAAATATTTTTCAAAAAGGGTTCAAAGATACGGTGAGTTTATTAAGTTCATTCAAGTTTTTAACAAAAAAAGAAATCTTTAAAACCTGTGAAACATTTTTTGTTAATAATGCGTTGGATAAATTCTCGTAAATACGTTTTTGTTTTGTTTCTACTTTTGTTTGTTGCTTGACAAATTTTATTAGCGGATTACGCATTTTGTTATGATATTTTATTGAAATTTTTATTTTGTATGTCATATTACGATATTTTAATTAAATCTAGTTAAAGGGGTTCTATGAAAAAATTGCGTTCTGTAATTCTCATCTTCTTTGAGCTCCTATCTGTTTTACTTGTTTTGTTAAATATTATATTATGTAGTGGAATTTGTAAAATTCTTATGTTATGTAAACAGAGAAAGAAAAAAAAAAATAAAAAAAAAATAAAACTAATTAAAGCTTCATGAATGTTCTTTATTGAGCTTTATTGAATACTTTTTCTTTCAAGTTTGCATGTTGTCATAACCCTGGCCTCTACAATCGTTCCACTCCGTTTTTGTCAATAACATCAATAATAACAATGACTTGTTTAAAAACGAAGCATTTCTGCTAATAATGAAACCGACAAGAAATACTGAATCAACGACTTCATTAATTGACGATACCATAACAAATCATATTTTTAACCATTCTTTTAAAAAAGGAATTATTAAATTCAATATCACAGACCATTTTCCGATTTTTTTTTTCTATAAATATAGATACTAAAGTAATAGTCAATAGAAGTAATAGTCAAAAATAACTTATATAAACGCATTTATAGTAAAGCAAATTTAGCATCATTAAATGACCAATTATCAATGCCTTATTGGCAACATATTCATCATTATCAGCACGTAAACTTAGCTTATAGCGAATTTCTTAAAACATTCTACGATATTTATGACACAAATTTCTTAAAATTGAAATAAACTAAAAACTAAAAAAAATGACATCACCATGAATAATCAATGGACTAAAAAAATCTTCCAAAATTAAACAAAAGTTATATATTAAGTACTTAAAATCCAAATCAGTTGAAAATAAAATCATTTACAAAAACTATGCTAGAGAATTCGAAAGACAAAAAAAAATCTCGACTTACTTAAAAAAAAACAAAAAACAACTCTATTTCTGAAAATTTGACATCTCATCAGCTATGTTTAAAAGGACATATTATTTATTTGTATATTCAAAATGGATTTTCAACTACTAAAACAGCAAAAAATATTTTTCAAAAATTTTGGTCTTTCTATAAGTAAAAATCAATTTAGGCATTTAATAGATTACAGTATCAACAACTATAAAAACACGATATCAAGAGATATGAAAAAGTTTCAAAAAGATGGCGTCATAGCTCGTACAGTTACGATTACTTTTAACTTTAGTAAACAAACTTACTGCATTCTTCTGTTTTTCTGTGTTTAATAAGACTATAAATGATATGTTTTTTATAATGCATCATATTTATATGATTCAAATTAAACATACAGACATAAACAACTAGATATATTTATCATATTATAATGCATTATAAAATGGATTATTTTTAATTATATTAAATTTTATATCATTTGCGCGGACGAAAATAACTTCACCGGGCAAAGTTATACAGTGTAAAATTGTGCATTATTGTTATTTCCAGTGTTACACCACTGGCCATAGTATAAAAAGATGCTTTAAAGTTAAATTTCGTGGTGCAGTCGTGAGATCTGAAAAAATTTCAATGTAAATGAGCGTTTTAGATTGTGAAGATTCAAAAATATAAAAACCATTTAAACAATCTATCAATTATTTTTTGATTGTATGTATTTTCTATAAATTTTTTTTTTTTTTTGATAATGTAATTGGACTTTTAATTTCTAATAGCTTGGAGAAATTTTTTTTTTTTTTAAACAATAACAAAGATACCGGATTAACGGGTTGTTATCGTGTAAAAAGTAACGACTTTATCGATTTATAACTGATTTAGACAGTAAAACAACTTTTTACAATCTGATTCTCTTTAAAAAAACATTTTTAATCATTTCAAAATGTTAAATCTTCGTATTTTTTTCGTATTTGTCATAATCATTACCATAATCATCGTAAACATCGTCGTCAGCAGCAGAATCAGTGTAACTCCACAGTGTAGAGTTACGTAGATTGAACACTTTAAAATCGATTTTATGTACGAGCTGCACTTAGTTTCACAACCAATTGTATAATTACATTTTACGAAGATCAGTACACTTTCTAGCGCAAGTCAGGGTTAGCGTAATATTCATGAACCATTTAACGATTTCTGCTTCACTAGTTAATCTAAATTACATATATAGTCAGTTACCCTATGCTTAATTTAGGTTAACTAGTGAAATTAGTTAAGAACTAGTCAGTATTTCTTTGCTTAGCAGCTTAGCAAAGTAATCATGCATTTTTTTTTTTACCAGACGTAGATGTTACACTGACCATTGTTATAGCATCTTAAATAAGTTTTCATTATTTAGTTCAAAACAATATATTATTAATGAATATTATTAAACAAATTGTGTAGCTAAGTTATGTACCACACATGTTCCAAGTTACTACTTTTTATTTTGACTAACTAATAACTTTTATCTCGCCATTTCATATGGCAGCACAAAACATTCAAAACTAAGTTTAAATTTTGATCAAACTTACTCTTTACTATAGAAACACTATACCTACATAAAACAAACCTAAAAAAAAAGGAGCTTAGTAAAATTTTATTGCTTCTTAAAGTATAGCTAAAACATTAACCAACCAAAAATGATATAGAAACCGTTTGGTTCAATAACTGGAACCCATATGGGATGCCTTTCGGGATGCTGTCTAATTTCGACAGTGGTTTCTATCTTAGGCTCATATGAGTTAGCCTGCCGGGTATTTTGTATTGGTCCCTATGAAATACCTTACTTTAAAACTGTATGTTTACCAAATAAGGATTTGTAACTAGAAACTATGAAACTAGAACTAGAAACGTTGGATTCTCGTTGTGTTAACACAGAATAGCGAAACTATAAGGCTTATTCATAAGGTATGGTGTGTACAAGAACTAATGTAAATGCAAGACTACTTTTAAATTGTCGAACATATAAAAGAGAAATTATAAAATTTCTTTGCTTATTTCAAATAAAATAACAATTAAAGTTACAATATTATTACACAACTTATTAAAGAATTTTTAATCGTGTATCGTTTGTCTTCACGGTTATTTGGCATACTAAAAGCTTTTAAACTGTTGGTAAAACTGCTTTTTTGAGCAGCCCGTGATTGATACAGTATTTCTTTTCAATAACAAAATATTAAACTGTTAGTGTTAAATTTTACAGACATTACATATTTGACGACAGGCTTATTGTGTCTTTTAGGTTCGTAGTAATGAGCTCTAACTGTTTTCCAAATTTTAATGCATTTTAAAGTATAAAAAATCAATGGTTACATTTCTTCAGCTTGTAAATGCACAGTTAAAAGATATATCTCTTTTCAATTAGCAATTTTTATTCTTAACATGCATGTTCCGATTCCGCTATGCCGTCATTATTCTTATTGTTTTAATGTTTGTTAATTTTTCAGAAGATAAACTCTAAAAAAGAACCATAAAATCTAAAAAAAAACTCTGAAATTATATTCTACAAGTTACACAACAATATTCAAAAGCAAAAATACTTTTGATAATTCATAAACTAAATGTCAACTAAATGCAAGAAACCGATCTGTATTGTTCATGTAAGTGGAGTCATTGGTGTGTTGAACAAGTTTAAAAAAAAAATGTTTGAAAACTTCAGCATAAAAAGAACAAAATGGCTTTCTCTTGCAGAGGAAGGCAAAACTATTGCAGAGAATTCTTTTAAATTCGTTGGAAAAGATGTTTCATTTAAGGATCTTTATGATAGATCAAATACAGCAAGATCAAATACAGCAAGAGGTACACTATTTAAAATAAAAGCAAATAAAATATTAATCTTGTTACAAAAAAAAGACATTAAGAAACGTTAACTTGTGCAAGGCAATATATATATATATATATATATATATATATATATATATATATATATATATATATATATATATATATATATATATATATATATATATATATATATATATATATATATATATATATATATATATATATATATATATAAATATATATATATATATATATATATATATATATATATATATAATATATATATATATATATATATATATATATATATATATATATATATATATATATATATATATATATATATATATTTATATATATATTTATATATATATTTATATATATATATATATAGGGTAGGTTAGGGTAATATGAGCACCTTGGTAATATGAGCATACTTAAAGATTTATTAGATGTAAGCAGTAAAGTTAAAGTTGCTTTATGTTTTTCGAATCGACTTTATGTGGTGATAACAGGAATCAGTACAATTAGCGTAAATTTATACGCAGTAATTAGCGGATATCATCTAATTAAAACTTTTAAATTTTTTGCTTTGTTAAAAAAAATCATCACGCGTGAATAATTCTGTGGCGTGATATTTTGGTGCTAAAATAATGAAATTAATTTTTTCATAAAGAAAAATATATTAGCTAAAAACCCAATTCATTTTTGTTTGAAAAATAATGCATAGAAACATTTATTTTTAACTTTATTTAAAAATACCATTTTTGTTTAATATGAGCAAGCTCAAATTACCCAGTGCTTTTTATTGAAATTGCTTAGTTTAATGTCCTAAAATAGCAGTGGTTTTTAATTGCTTCTTGAATAAAAACAAAACATAGTAAAAATTTTAATATATTAACAATACCAAATATTTTTCTGTAACTTAAATCTAAAAAATAGTAATTTTTATTGTTCAAAGGTTTGAGTTAACAAAATTGAAAAAACAATGTATTAAATTTTTTTTTTTTTTTTGGCGGAAACATAGTAGTATTGTTTCAACAAAATGTAGCTTAAAATTTGATCTTTTAATGATATGCTTTGTTAATCACGAATCCTTATATTCCAACAATTAGTTCTATTAAGCAGGTTGGTCTTTTTTTACTTAATTATGGCTATTTTTTTGAGCTAATTTAAAGTTCTCATATTACCAAGGGGTCAATATATTATATATATAATAAAAAGTTAACATTAATCATATAGTAAAAGTTAAAATTATTTATATAGTAAAAATTTACATTTTTTAAATAGTAAAAATTAATATTATTTATAAAGTAAAAATAATGTAACTTACATTATTTATGTAGTAAAAACTAACATTATATATAATGTAAAAAAAGAACATTATTTATAAAGTAACAATTTACATTTTTAATATAGTGTAAATTAACATTATTTATATAGTAAAAAATCAATATTATTTACATAGTAAAAATTAACATTAATTATATAATAAAAAGTTAGCATTATTTATATTGTTAAAATTAACATTATTTATATAGTAAAAATAATTATTATTTATAAAGTAAAAATTAGCATTATTAATATAAAAAATTAACATTATTTGTATAGTGAAATTACCATTATTTATATAGTTAAAATAACATTGTTTATATATTAAAAAATAACTTTAATTATATAGAAAAAAGTTAAAAATATTTATATAGTAAACAATTAACATTATATATAAAGTGAAAGTAAACATTTATATAGTAAAAGTTAACATTATTTTTAAAGTAAAAATTAGCATTAATTATATAGTTAAAAATTAACAATAATTACATAGTAAAAATTAACATTACTTGTATAGTAAAAAGTTAACATTATTTATATAATAAAAAATTAACATTATATATATAGCAAAAATTAACATTTTTTATAAAGTATAAATTAATATTATTTATATAGTAAAAAGTTAACATTATTTATGTTGTAAAAAATAACATTATATATATAGTAAAAAATTAAAATTATTTATAAAGTAAAAGTTAACATTATTTATATGGTAAAAATTTAACATTATATATCAAGTAAAAATTAACATTATTTGAACTGTAAAAACTAACATCATTTATATTATTAAAATAACATTATTTATATAGTAAAAATTAACATAACTTATTTAGTAAAAAAATTACATTATTTATATAGTAAAAATTGACATTAGATATAGTAAAAAATAACATTATTTATTTAGTAAAAAATAACATTACTAATATAGTAAAATTAATAATATTATTATTGTAAAAAATTAACATTACTTATATAGTAAAAATTATTATTATTTATAAAATAAAAATTAACATTACTAACATAAAAAAAATTAACATTATTTATATAGTAAAATTAACGTTATTTATATAGTTAAAATTAACATTATTTATATAGTAAAATATTTTTAATTATATAGCAAAAATTAGCAATATTTATATAGTAAAAAATTAATATTATTTTTATAGTGAATGTAAACATTTATATAGTAAAAGTTTACATTATTTTTAAAGTAAAAATTAGCATTATTTATAAAGTTAAAAATAAACAATATTTACGTAGTAAAAATTAACATTACTTATATAGTAAAAAGTTATATATTTTTATATATATACATTATATATATATATATATATATATATATATATATATATATATATATATATATATATATATATATATATATATATATATATATATATATATATATATATATATATATATATATATATAGTAAAAAATTAACATTATATATATAGTAAAAATTAACATTATTTATATAGTAAAAATTAATATTATTTATATAGTAAAAATAACCATTATTAATATAGCAAAAGTTAATATTATTTGTATAGTAAAAATTAACATAATAAAAATTAATATTATTTATATAGTTAAAAATAACATTATTAATATAGCAAAAGTTAATATTATTTGTATAAGAAAAACTAACATAGTAAAAATTAATATTATTTATAAAGTAAAAAATTAACATTATTTATATAGTAAAAATTACAATAATATATAGTAAAAAAAATAACATTAATTACTTAGAAAAAAATAACATTACTAATATAGTTTAATTAATAAAATTGATATTGTAAAAAATTAACATTGTTTATATAGTAAAAACTATTATTATTTATAAAGTAAAAATTAAAATTATTAACATAGTAAAAATTAACATTATTTGTATAGTAAAGTTAACATGATTTATGTAGATAAAAATAACATTATTTATATAGTGAAAATTAACCGATACTGGTAATAAAAATTACCGATATAGTAAAAAATTAATAATATTTATATAGTAAAAAATTAACATTATTTATATAACAAAAATAAACAATGATATAGTAAAAGTTAACATTATTTTTAATGTAAAATATTGCATTATTTATATAGTTAAAAATTAACTATATTTACATAGTAAAAATTAACATTACTTATATAGTAAAAAGGTAACATTATTTACATAGTAAAACATTGACATTATATATATAGTAAATATCAACATTATTTATATAGCAAAAATTAACATTATTTATATAGTTAAAATTATTATTGTTTATACAGTGAAAAGTAACATTATTAATATAGTAAAAGTTAATATTATTTGTATAGTAAAAATTAACATAAATTATATTGTTAAAATTAAAATTATTTATATTTTAAAAATTTAACATTTCTTATATAGTAAAAAATTAACATTATTTATAAAGTAAAAACTAACATTATTTATATAGTAAAAATTCAACAATATTAATATAGTAAAAGTTAACATTATTTATATAGTAAAACTTAACAGTAATGATATTATAAAAAATTAACTTAATTTATATAATAAAAGTTAACATTTATATAATAAAATTTATCATTATTTTTAAAGTAAAAATTAATATCATTTATATAGTAAAAAGTTAACATTATTTATATATTAATAAAATAGCATTATATATATATATATATAGCGAAAATTAACATCATTTATATAGTAAAACTTATCTTTGATATATAATAATAATTAACATTATTAATATAGTAAAAGTTAATGCTGTTTGTATAGTAAAAACTAACATTATTTATATTGTTAAATTTAACATTATTTATAGAGTAAAAGTTAACATTACTTATATAGTTAAAAATCAAGAAAATTTATGTAGTAAAAAATGAACAATACCTATATAGTAAAAATTAACAGTTTTATAGTTAAAGTTAACATTATTTTTAAAGTAAAAATTAACATTCTTTATATATTAAAAGTTAACGCTATTTTTAAAGTAAAATTAACATTATTAATATAGTAAGGTTAATATTATTTGTATAGTAAAAATTAACATTATTTATATAGTTAAAATTAAAATTACTAATATACTAAAAATTAACAATAATGATAATATAAAAAATTAACATAATTTATGTAATAGAAATTAAGATTTATATAATGAAAGTTAACATTATTTTAAAAAAGTAAAAATTAACATTTTTTTAGTAAAAAAGTAATATTATTTACATAGTAACTGTTAACATTATTTATATAGTAAAACGTTAACATTATTTACATAGTAAAATTAACATTATTTATATAGTAAAAAACCAGCATTACATATATAGTAAAAGTTAACGTTATTTATATAGTTAAA